GGATTCTCTAACTGGAATACAGCAGAAGGGAGCCCTTGTGCAATCGTATGGAACAGGGAACTTGCATGTACTAAAGGGGGCGATTCCCAGAACGTAGGGGCACCGCACCATAGATGCACTGGAACACTTTGCCCTTGTTCATTAGCAAAAGCACACACTCGGGGGAGGGGGGGGAGTAGTTCTGTACACGCTTAGAGACGCTTGCCTGGGATGACAGAACGGTTTGTGTTGTTCTGGTGTATTTTTAGACCAGACTAAGAAGGCCAAGGTGCAGTTCTGCTCCAACCAGTCCTCACCTTGGGAGACTCTCTGCGGTCACCCCTGCCCTATCCTTGTACGGTGGACACGCCTTTGCAATCACCTCCACTTCAGAGCAGCGGCAACATCCTGGAGAGCACAAGGCAGCTTTGTGGTCATGTAATCTGCAAATGAGCACAGAGCGGTGGAACAAAGCTCTCGCCTGGTTCCGCTGCACGCCAGAATAGGGTGGGTGAAGGAGGGCAGAAACCTTGCTTAGCCCGCCCACTTGACTTGGGGTGAGCAGGGGCAGCGCGCGGGAAGGGGTGGGGTGGTGGGTGCTGCCACTCCACAAGGGTCCAGTGGCAGACCTGGGCCACCAGAGGAGAGCCAAGATGCTGCTGGAGACCGCCCTCTGACTACGCCCACTGAAGGCGCAATGTGCAACGCCACTCGATGATGTTGCATTTTGCTGAAGTGTACAGCCAGATGGGTCACGTGCTGCTGCAGGAGACCGGAGAGGCCTTGGGCAGGTCTCTGTTCTCAACAGAAATTACTCGGCCAGCCTCTCGGGAAGCTGTAAGAAGAAGGGCGAGAGGCAAATGAAACCAGAAGTTGAGGCAGGCTCATCACTGCGCCGACGGAGCAGTCTTGTGCTCCCAGTGACGTTTCTGGCATTTCTGATCTCCAAGCCATTGACGATACCTCCTGCTCTTGGGCCAAGGTTTACAGTATTTACTCAGATGCAAGACTAGGTGTTTCCCCCCCCCCCGGTACGTCAAAGAGGGGGTCATCTTAAACTTGCCTACAAGCTACTACCATGTCCAATACAAAAACATTGTGTTGTGTAACTTTCTGGGGGAGGGGTCTTCTTACATTCAAGGTAATCTTCCTTTTAAGTACAGTAATGTGTGCCACAGCGCCCACTGACTCAACCTTCATGCCTGGTTTTCACTGCCACTGAAGGAATGCCCCTGAGCAGGTTCAGAGTGTATTCCTAAGCAGTGACTCCCATGACTGCGGGAAGGGGGAAGCATCTTTCTTCTTTCTACTTGCTATTGGACTTTTTGTTGCTGTTCAGTCACACAGTCGAGTCCGACTCTTTGCGACCCTATGGACCACATCGCGCCAGGCCCTCCTGTTTTCCAACATCCTCCAGAGTTTGCTCAATTTCATGTTCGCTGCATCGGTAACACTGTCTAACCATCTCATCCTTTGCCGCCCCCTTCTTTTACCTTCAGTCCTTCCCAGCATCACGGCCTTCTCCAGTGAGTGCTCCCTTCTCTTTTGGTGGCCAAAGTATTTGAGCTCCAGCTTCAGTACCTGGCTTTCCAGGGAAAAGTCAGGGTTGATTTCCTTTAGGATTTACTGATTTGATCTCCTTGCAGCCCAAGGGACTCTCGGACAGCACATTTCTAATATGCAAAAGCTTGAAGTTGCCTTTATCCAAGGCCAGAACATTTGTTGACCCATTCAGACCAGCACTGGCTTTGGGACAGACAGCGACTTTCCATTGTCTCGAACTGCGGCCCTGAGATCTGCCAAGAGCCAGTTTGGTGTAGTGGTTAAGAGAGCCAGTTTGGTGTAGTGGTTAAGTGTGCGGACTCTAATCTTGAAGAACCGTGTTTGATTCCCCACTCCTCCACTTGCACCTGCTGATGGCACAGCTGTTCCTGAAAGAGGAGTTTGTGTCAGAGTTCTCTCAGCCCCACCCACCTCACAGGGTGTCTGTTGTGGGGAGGGGAAGGGAAACGAGTTTATAAGCAGCTCTGAGACTCCAAGTGAAGGGCGGGGTATAAATCCAATCTCTTCTCTTCTTCAAGAGAAGGTTGCCAGGGATCGAACCTGGGACCTTGCACACGTGGGGCAGGTGCCCTGCCACCCAGTTCTGTGCGCCTGATGTTTCACCCCCATTTGCCAGAAATAAAGCAAAACCAAAAGTGTAAGCACAGAAGGGGCCATTTCACACAGCTACCTGGGACGAGGGTGCCATCTAGTGCCTGTTACAAACACCATGTTGAATGCTTTTTTGACTGCAACACAGTTCAACCTCAGTTTAAAGAACGGTAGCATGATCCTTCACCCCATTGAGTTCACAGCGACACCAGGTGGAAGATTGCAGCATTACACTTTCTGCAGAATTAGTGAAAGCAGCTGAAGACGCGCTTATATTTCACTGCAACGAAGTCTCTAAGGAAGAACAGCCAGCGTGGTGTGGTGGTTAAGAAGACTGCTGGACTAGGGTTCAGGAAATTCAGGTCTGAATCTACACTCTGCCACAGAAGCTTGCTGGGGGACCATGAGCCAGTCACGTACTCTCAGCCTAACCTATCCTATAAACCCGAGAAGAGGAGAATGCCGTTAAGTCACCCTGGGTCCCCACCGGGGAGAAAAGTGGGGTATGAATCAACTAAATAATCAGTGTGTCTTTAAAAGGCATGATATTCAAGTCGAGCATGGGAAACAGTTTGAAATACATCCCCTCAGAAGCCAACACCATGGATGGTACTATACTTTTAAGACAGTGAGAGCTGACTCTAGCAGCCCAACATGCAGACAGATTCAGGTGGGGGTCGCCGTGTCGTCTGAAGCAGCAGAACAAAGTTTGAGTCCAGTGGCACCTTGAAGACCAACAAAGTTTAATTCTGGGCATAAGCTTTCATGCACACGAAAGCTCATACCCAGAGTTAGTGTTGGTCTTAAAGGTGCCACTGGACTCAAACTTTGTTCTGGCAGCCCAGAACACTGTTTTGTTCAGCACCCTCTGAACCACTGGTGGGAAGAGACTGTGTCAAAAGCTGAGTGGCCACATTTTAACATTACGCCTCTCTGAGGCTGACAAAACCCAGATTTGGTATTCTGTGTATGAGCCGCTCCTTGGCCCACCCAGTTAACAGTGGCCAACAGCTGCCTCTTCCATCCCTACTCCCGGACAGGAAGCAATCCGGCAATCTTGGGGAGACAGGAGTCAAGGAAACAGGCCCACACGCACAATGGCAGCACTTGGAGAATTAAGACTAGAGGAGAACGGCCACAACAACCTGTTGAGGACTGAAATGCTCGGGAGGTGCCGTAACCCTCTGCTTAAAAAAAATAAATACAAATACAGAAAAAAAACATTAAAATGCTTAAGATATACAGGGCGGCAGTGTTCCCTCTAAGCTGAGTTAGTGTGAGCTAGCTCACAGGAGGTGGTGGTGGCTACAAGCATGGACGGCTTCAAGAGGGAATTGGATATGGAGCAGAGGTCCATCGGTGGCTATTAGCCACAAGGTATAGATAGGAACCAGTCTGGGGCAAGTGATGCCCTGTATTCTTGGTGCTTGGGGGGGGGGGGGGGCAACAGTGGGAGGGCTTATTTCTAGGTGCTCACACACTTTTGTCTTAGCTCAGGAAGGATGGCTCCAGAGCAAATTGATTTATTCAGTAGCCAAATCGCTCGCTCACAACTTTAATGCCAGCAGCTCACAAAGTCGAATTTTTGCTCACAGGACTCCACAGCTTAGAGGGAGCATTGCAGGGCGTGGGGATAGTTTCTTTTATCTCTAGACTTCAGATCTGTTATTAGCCTGTTAGCCAGAAGGAAGCACCCCAGAGCTACGGTACGTGCAGGAGGAGATGGAAGCAACCCTGATTTTTATCAAAGTATTTAGATCATACACCTTTCCTCGGGGCTCAAGGCAGCTCACAAAATATAATTTATGTCAAGTGTGCCAGGGGGATCCTTCTGGACTGAAAGATAAATGTAGCCGTTAGATAAACCACAATCTTCGGCGCAAAATCCACCGAAGGGAAGCCATACTTCCATGTCGAGACTGGGCTTGCGTACACCACTCACGGCACGGGAAAAACCATCTTTACAGAACGAGGATGCTCACTGGGTGCCTAACGTCTTAAGGAAGGTGCTAAGCCCTGGTTGGTGGCAAAGGCGTGTTCAAAACTGTACGGGCAACATCAGCTGAAACCTCAGAAGCCAAAGTATTTGCTGGATAAGGTATCAGGAACGAGAGAGCAGGGCTCTCAACCCGCCTTGCTACCCCAACTGGGGGGAGGGGCGCAACCAATGGCAGAGGGGACAATTTTAAAGCCCCACCCAACTCCCCCCAATCTCACCCTCCGGGATCCCCTGAGCTCTCAGGGACTGGAGCAGGTCAATTTCTCCCCCTCTCTTTCTCCACTTAACAGACTCTCTTTTGCTCTCCATCGGCTGTCCTTCCTGGGGCATCCTCAGTCCTCAGACTATTTTTGGAAAGGGAGACATCCAGCCAGTTTACTAATTAGACCGAACAACAGGTCTGAACCAGATCCGACACCCAAATCAGATTTTGAGCATCATGCCGGAAGCCTTGGCCTTGCGTGCTCCCCTATCGCCTGCCATCAAGCTGAGATTCCCTCCCTCATTTCCTGTACGCAGCCAAACCACAGTTTATATCTAGGGCAGCAATCTGATGGCAAATCACAGCTTGCCTCGGAAAGGGACTGCAGCAGGTGAGGGGGGAGGGACGGGGAGAACAGAAGCCCAAAGCTTGGCCGTGTGATGCCAAAGTCTGACTCACGACAAAGGCTGGAGAACTTGAGCAAAATAACAATAAGGCCATGTTGGCTTAACCCACCCCATTTACTCAGGACACAGAATTTTGCTTCTCTTGTTGCAGAATTCAGGCTCCTTCTGCACTTTAAAAAACAGAATTTTCCAAGTACACAACCCCCTGGTGTTACTAAGGAACACACACACAAACACACACACAGAGTCTTTTGCTTACCAAATAGAGCAGAAAGGTATGGAGACCTGTTCCAAGTCCAACCGAGGACAGAATGCCTAAGCCTACCCAGTAGGCACACCATAAGAATTTTTTCTCCATGTACCGCACATACTGTAAAGGGGAGGGAAAGAGAAGAAAATGAAGTTTGCATAAGAAAGCAGAAAAGCCCATAACATTAAAGAAAGCAAAATGGTATTCAATGCAGTGTGAAACATCAGACCAGAGGGTGGGGAAGAAGGACGGACCGCGATAGCCAGAATTTGGCACCCTAAGAACGCAACTTGGCGAGAGTCGCAGGTGGATAAGCTGTGCTAGTCCGGAGGACGACATTTAAGTCCAGGGTACAAACTTCCCCAGGGTGTAAGCTTTGTGAGTCACATCATCATTTACAGATGGTATCTGATGAAGTGAGCTTAGACTCACGAGAGCTCCTACTCTGGAAAGTTTTGTTGGTCTTTAAGATGCTGCTGGACTCGAAAGACGGACAGAGTGCTTCAAAGCCCAGGTCAGCTACTTGTTTCCTAAATGGCTGGCCTGTGAATGGGGCGAGGTCTGAACAGGCAAAGGTCCCCAATCCCCACCTCACCCACCCGCCACGGCCTGTGGAAAACACACTTTGCTTCTGGCTCGACAAACACAGAAGGGGAAGTGGTGGCCCCCCCAGTGGGGCCAGGAATGGGCAACGGCGGATCCCAGTAAATGCTGGCTTGCAAACTGGACACTGAGCACAGACAACCCCTGACCCCAGCTGTGGTGTAAATGAGGTGTGTGTGGGGGGGAAGCACAGACATACAAGGAAGTGATACTCATGCATGCAACAGTTGTGTGATTCAGCTCTGGTGAGATGTGGGATAAAGACTAAAAACACAGCTCCAGGGGAAAGTGAATTACCTTCTTATCTAGCGCTGCCCAGTGACTAAGAAACCCTGCTTAACTCTCTGAATCAAATACCAGCTCTGCCACAAACTCACCAGATGACCTTTGGACAAGGCGCTCGCTCTCACCCTCCAACCTGGGGATATTCTGGGCCCACCATACAGGGTTGTCCCCAGCAGTCGACAAATGTGCTCTGGACTTAACGGCGAGGCAAGAACTGTGCTCGACACCAGAGACAGAGGGGTCACAGTCTAGACCAGGGGTCCCCAACGTGGTTCCCCTGGGCCACATGGCGTCTGCCGACACCTTTCCCTGGCGCCTGCCAAGTGGTTTTAGAAAGTGGGTAGGGCTTTCCCCAGCAAAGCTTCTGATTGGCCACTGGAGATTTGATTGGCTGTGCAGATTCTTTAAAAGCGTTGCTTTGGCAGCGGCTGTTACCACAGCCCATGGATCTTCACTGGGGGACAGAAGATAAGCTGTGGCAGCCATTTGGTGGCAGCCTCCACCTCCTGTGGCAGCTATTTCGTGGCTGGGCCCACCGCCGTTTTGTCAGAAGTCCAGAAGGGCCTGCAGGTTCAAAAAGGTTGGAGGATGCCTGGTCTAGACTGTGACGTGACGCTGAGAACTGGAGGTCTGAACACAGGCCCCTCGGCATGACTGTGGAGTCAAGCACTCCCCCCCCCCACACACACACCCTTTCACCCCCAACTATGATCACAGTAGGAATGTAAGAGGAGCAGCCCCGTAGTCAGAAATTTTGGCTGGGTGGGGGCATGGGGAAATTTTGTGGGGCAGCAGGGGAGGGGGGAAGAGAGAGGGGGGAGGGAGAGGGGCGGCCACCAATGCTCCCTCTAAGCTGTGGAGTCTTGTGAGCAAAAATTCTAGTTTGTGAGCAACTGGCATTAAAGTTCTGAGTGATTTGGCTGCTGCATAAATTAGTTCGCTCTGGAGCCATCCTTCCTGGGATAAGACAAAAATGTGTGTGGTGGAGGCCAAAAACCTGTGAGCTAGCTGACACTAACTCAGCTTAGAGGAAAATTGACAGCCACAAACCTTCCCCAAACTCCAAGCAGCGATTTTGCCCCTTGGAGTTCGGGCGCGGGCAGACCCTGCTTGAAAAACACAATTTAAAGGGCTCCCTTTAAATGGTGATTTTCAAGCGGGGACTGCCCATGCCTGAACTCCAAGGGGGTGAATTTGCTGCTTGAAGTTTAGGGAAGGCGTGCAGCTGGCAGCTGCCCCTCTCCCTCACCTCCTGCAGGATTTAAAGGGCCCACCAATCAGTTGGAAGGCCCTTTTGGAGGAGGGGAGGGAGAGGGGCAGCTGCAAGATTTAAAGGGCCATCCAGCTGATCGGTGGGCCACATGCTCCGCCAGTCAGCTGGAGGGACCTTTTAATATCAAAGGAGGGGGTGAGCAGCTGTTGTGGGGCGTGCCTCACATTGGAGGGGGCGGAGCCCCGAAATGCCCCACTGTAGCTACAGGCCTGAAGAGGAGTCTGTCTCTCTCTGACCCTCAAACAAAAGGGCCCGCAAAACAGATAGGTGTCCAAGCAAGGTCAGGGACCCCCTGCTCATCTCCGAAGCCTGGAGTGCAGCAATGTTACCAGAAGAAAGGTGTCTGCCACTGATTGACAGATCTGGGGACTCTCTAGCTGGCGTCAGGATCACTGCCAACAGGCACGCCAGACTCTTAGAACACTAGAAGGGCCCCAGGTCAGGGCTGAGAATCATGTTTACCTGTTGATGCGCTCCTTCAATATAATACGCAGATGTGAGAACCACAAGTAGCACTAAAAGAGACACCACGATACTTCGGCGGTGCCACAATCTGGGGGAGAAAAAAAAAATCAGGCTTCGAGATTCAAGGGGCTGGGAAAGGGCAACACGATCATCCATCGGCTTCCAAACTCCATCATCGGGATGGATCACATCCATGCTCCCCCCCCCCAATCCCCTTCTTAACTAGCGTCACTCCCAAAAGACTGTATCATAAGTGGCAGAGAATGTAAGAAGAACTCTACTGGATTAGGCCTAACCCTGTGATAGGAAGACCAGTGGTTTCCATACAACAGCCCCACAGGGCCTACGGAGTTCCCTAGCTGGGCAGGAAGGCAACAGTGGTCTTTCCTAAGTTGGTCCCCAGCATCTGGTAATTAAAGGCATACTGCCTCTGTACAAGGAGGGGCCATTTAGCCAGCAGCTGCAGATCGCCCTACTGACACATTAGTCCCGTCTACTCCTCTGCAAAAAGCCACCTGAGCGAGCGGCCAAAGTCTCCTGGTAGTAAGTTCTGTAAGTTAATTCTGCATTGTTTGAAGGAGGGGCTCCTTCAGTTCATCCTCTGCTAACAGCCAGCCCTTTCCATGGGGTAGTCCCCAAATGCCTGTTAATCTGTCTCCGTTCTGTTCAGTTTTAATCTTCTCTACCGTGCTGCATCGTCACCTTCAAGTTTCCTACGATCCCACGGCCCTCTCGGTTCCACCCTGAGGTCATCTGGAATTAGTCCCTGCCAACACAACAAGCAACAGACTCGCAGCAGAGGCACCCGGCAGCTGCACCTGGCAACACAGATTCATGCTGGCAGCGGTGCCGGTCTGCAGCGCAAGAGCAAGACTCTCGAAAGCTGATGCCCTGGAAGTCTTGTGGGTCTTTAAGGCGCGGCCGGACTTGAATCTTGCAACATAAAACTCACTAACTTGGGTTTTGAACACGGTCCAGCAAAGCTGAGCTCAAAGAGTTTTAATGTGCGTGTTAAGTAAAGGTAAAGGATTCCCTTGCTCGAAAACTAGTCGAATCTGACTCTAGGGGGCGGTGCTCATTTCCGTTTCCAAGCCGAAGAGCCAGCACTGTCCGAAGACTTCTCCGTGGTCATGTGGCCAGCATGACTAGACACTGAAGTGCACGGAACGCTGTTACCTTCCCACCGAAGTGGTACCTGTTTATCTACTTGCAATTTCTTGCTTTTGAAATGCTAGGTTGGCAGGAGCTGGGGCCAGAGACGGGAGCTCACTCCGTCATGCGGCACACTCGGGTCTCGAACTGCCGAACTACCGACCTTCCGGTCTGCAGTTTGCTTCTGACACATGGCGGCCCTGTGAATTAACAAACTCCAAAACAGCCTTGGTCAGGTCTTGCAGACTGAGGGCCTTTGTGGCTTTCTTGACAGAGTCCATCCATCTCACGGTGGGCCTTCCTCTCTTCCCGCTGCCTTCAACTTCTCCTGGCGTCATTGTCTTGCCCAGTGACTCGTGGCTTCTCATAACATGACCAAAGTAGGATAGCCTCAGCTTGGTCATCTTAGCTCCTAGGCAGAGTGCAGGCTGGATCTGATCCCAGATGCACTCGTTTATCTTTTGCTAGCTTGTTTTTAAAATTTGGGGGGGGGGGGGGACACAAGCCAAGGCCTGAAGTCCGAAAGGATACCACACTGCTGGCACGAGCTCCTGTATGGCCTGCTCCCCGGGTGTGCCTCGGCCTGGTGAACCAGAGAGTGGGCTGCAAGCCCAGTGAGGGGGAAGAAGGCCAGAGCCAAGCCCCAACTGCATGCCATGGCCACAGCCTTGCTCCCACTGCAGCAAGCCATCTTGTGCCTGGGCCGTACCACTTCACATCCCCATGGCAAAAGAAACAAGAGCAAACCCCTTGCATGCAGAAAGCTAGCATATAAAGGAGAAGGCTAGAAGAGGACCCTGCTCCACAACATCCTAGCTTTCTGTATAAAAGAGCATTCAGTCCCCCGAGCCCTGGAGTGGTACAGTCAAGATACAGGCTTGACTGCTCACTGAGAAACATGCTCAGATTCATAGGCCTTCTGACCCAGCAGCCCCACAAGAAGAAGAAGAAGAAGAGATTGGATTTATACCCCGCCCTTCACTCGGAGTCTCAGAGCGGTTTACAGACTCCTTCCCCTTCCCCTCCCCACAACAGACACCCTGTGAGGTGGGTGGGGCTGAGACAACTCTGACACAATCTGCTCTTTTTCAAGAACACCTCTTATCAGAACTATGGCTTGCCCAAGGTCATCCAGCCAGGTGCAAGTGGAGGAGTGGGGAATCAAACCCGGTTCTCCCAGATTAGAGTCCGCGCACTTAACCACGACACCAAACTATACTACACCAAACACCCTGTTTGCCCAGAGGGCTTGTGGCATGCAGATGGCCCACCCACGAATGAAAGGAAAACAGTCCTCCACACAATGCAGAATTCACCTATGGAACCCATCGCGACCAGATACTGCGAGGGCTGCCGGCATAGACATCTGTTGGAAAGGGGTGCATAAGGACACAGAAGAACAGTCATGTGCCTCCTTCGCAGGCCCTGTTTGCCCAAGGTGGCTAACCATTCGAAGCTGGAACTCACAAAGTTAATACAGGCAAATTCTGATAAGCCACTTAAAATGGTCACAAAACAGCTAATTACTGACTGCGACAGCCACAAGCACAAGACACATCCGGAGCCATCTTGAGAGTCAGGGTCCTGGGGTGAGCAGGTGAGGAGGGAGGCCGGAGCCAGGGATCGCTCGCAAAATGATCCCCCCAAGACACCTGGCCTGCCACCATCAAAAAAGAATCTACAGGACTTGGTCTCATAGGAGCTTAACGCTCACAGGCCTTCCGGCATTGCCCAGCCAGCAGTGCATCAATCCCAGTCCATTCCAGTGCCATTCTGGCAAAAATCTGCAAGTTAACTGTTTGGATTAGGATACTCGCGTCAATTATTGAAGCAAACAGCCAGGAAAGAAGCAAAGTCCCCTTTGTGGGTATGAAGATAAGTGCCACATAATCCGGGACTTTGCCCTGAGAGGGGGAAACGCTTAAGTTTCTAAAGATAAGTTAACACACCTCTGAACTCCTACTCGGCCTTGGAACCAGCTCCACCCTCCTCAATTCAAAGCCCTTAAGGGTTGCTTTAAGGAGGACATCGTTATTTCGACACCCGATTTTTTTCCCTGCGCATCAAAAAATTTCACACCATGTAGAAAGCAGATTCACGAGAGGTTAGATCAGAGATCTGCAATGTGGTGCCTGTGAGCACCGATGTGCCCACCGGAGCTGCTCTGGGTGCCCACCCATTTCCTGGAAAGCTCCTCCCACCTCACCCTGCGGCCAATCAGCTGGGCAGTAAGGAGAGCCTTCTGCCCAACACACTCACAATTCCAAAGGTGACCAGGGTCAATTCCAAAGGTGACCAGGCTCAATAAGTTTGGGGACTCATGCTTTGGACAAATGGATTTAGGTAAACACACTGAAAATCACCGCGATGCTCAGTTCACAAGCAATCATCCAGCAGTAAGATGTTTATGATGTTTGATCCTGTGGGAGCCAGACTTTTTCTGAAGTGACACGGGTTGAGATCCTCACGAGGCCCTTTTCACCAGCGGCCCTCAGACTATCGGGCTGGAAGTTGTCCTACTGGCCTCTCAGAGAAACCTGAAGAAGTTCCTGTTCCAAAAGGCCTCGGAACAAAGTCAGCACCGCCATGTGGAAGGCTGAGGCTCAGTGGCAGAAGAGTAGGTTTTTTATAATTTTCTCTAACTTAAGGAGTCTCAAAGTGGCTTATATTCATTTTTCCCTTGCTCTCCCCACAACAGGCACCTTGTGAGGCAGGCGGGGCTGAGAGGGTTCTGAGAAAACTGTGCCCGGCCCAAGGGCACCCAGCAGCTTGGCGTGCAGAAGGGCCCAAGCTCAATCTCTGGCATCTCCAGTTAAAAGGATCAGATGGAAAGACCTCTGCCTGAGCGCCTGGAGAACTGTTGCCACTTTGAGTGGACTATCCTGACTTTGATGGACTAAGGGTCTGATTCCGTATAAGGCAGTTTCGTGTGTTCAACTGGTGTTCCCCTCCTGTTGCCTTCTTTTTTAAAAAAAAGAAATGGCTTGCCGTTCCATGACATTTTACGTGATTTCTCACATTACATTCCTATTTTAGACACTGAAATTTTGAAGGAGGCACAGAAGCGTTCGAAATGAATTAAACCAAGAACTCCTACTGACGACAGCTAAGTTGGGAAAGGATAAGCTCCATTTTAAGGGGTCTGAAAAATAGGCAGTGCTTATTCGGGAAGCTGGATGCACGCGGACTCATGCAACCTATGAAGAAAGGGAACGGGCTGCACAAAAAGTTATCGACGGCCTCTAGGAGGAGGGGAAGGGGAGGGAAAAAGCAGCCTCATACTTTTGAAAACAGGGACCCAGAACTACAGAACGCCATAGGAATACCACTAGAGGAAAGCACACCGCTATTTGGAGAGATACTGAAAAGAGGGCACGGCGGAGGAGGACAATGAGGGGGCTAACGCGGGCCTTTCATGACAGCCACCGCCACCCCCACCCTCGCCTTGCGAGAGTCCCTGCCCTCCCACACGCCCCAACCCAAGTTAAGAGGAGGTATCTTTACTTTATGGTCCATTCTTTCAAGTTTAATAGTGCTTCCAGAAAAAAATACTGCAAGGTAATGAGAGGCTTCCTCCAGAGGACAATACTCTGCCGCTCTTACCGTTCTTTTTGCTTCTGTCCATTTGACGAAGAGGGCTCTGCAGACGGAGAGGAGGGGGGAAAGGAGAGAAATGTCATGGGAAGCAACAATGGTATCCTCTTACCCCAAGAAAAGCCCCTTCCCCACTACGTTGGACTAGTTGCCATCTGCTCGTAGGAGACGGCTGGATGCTCCGGGAGCCCCCTTCCCGCACGGCTGCCTTCTGCTGTGACACCGCCTCCGATCAGGGCAAAAAGCCTTCTGAAGGTGCCGCCCTGCAGCCATTCCCTGTGGTGTCTCCCACATTGTGGAATGGTCTGCCGGTGGCAATTAAGAAGGGCCCAGCGCTTCCTTCGTCTCGCAAAAAAGTGCAAAACGGAATTGTCCAGGACGGCATTCTGCTCAGAGAGCAGAGCCGTAGCCTGTGAGGCAAAGGGTCAGCTTGGGAAGTGGCCTCTGCTTTCCCCCCCCGCCAGTCCTTATTTACACCTTTTGACCCGGCTTTTCTCCTCGGTGGGGACCCAGAGCAGCCCGCGGCGTTCTCCCCTGCTCAGTTTTATCCTCACAAACAGCCTTGTGAGATCTGTTAGGCTGAGAGAGGTCCAAGGTCACCCCGCAGGCGTCCGTGGCCAAGTAGGGATTTGAACCTCACTCCCGGATCCCAGTCTAATGCCGTGTGACTGTCGGTCTCAGCCCCACTGCATCACATCATCTGCCTAGGAATCCCTGCTGTTAGACTCAAGTGTGATCCTATCGGGCAATCTGCTTGCTGACTGACGGAACGGCTTTATTTCACTAGGAATATCTGCTATCAGACACAAATGTGATCATATTCTGGAGGCAACTTATTGAATGACAGAATAGTTCTATCATATTTGTAATCTGCCTCGAGTCCCAGTGAGAAACGAAGACTGTAAATGAAAATAAATAAAGAACTGGCCTCGGAGGCTCATTGTTCACGCAGACCTTGCTTAGCTGGTTACTTGTTCTGGATCAGCAGGATTCTGCGGCTGCGCATGCTGGCGGTGTTCACAGCGACAGATCTTTCTTCTCCTTGCCCTTTGCACTGCAGCCTTCTGCGGCTGCTCCGTTAAGACTGGAGACAGCGGGACCCCGTGGGCTAAAAGCCACTGAGCACAAGGGGGTGCAATGAGAAGGAAGAACTGGATCGAGAACTTGGGAGACGACAGCAAGGACTCAGGGCCTGGATGCGACATGTCTATTCCTGTCTCTCCCAGCTTAGCCCCTTCAATAGCGACTTTGCCCTCCACATGTTACGCAAACCCACACTGACCATCTGTCTTCCCTACGATTATGGAGAGAGAGGCGGGGGGGGGGTGTCCCTTTTTGGAAACCATTACAAAGAGGATGTCCAGAATTTAAGGGTGGGAAGGAGACAGCTACCACCAGGAGCAGCAGATGCTCGAGACATTTGACAACACAGCAGTGGCAGATCCAGTACCTGAGCTAGCTTCTTGGATATGCGCCCCCAGTGTTCCCTCTAAGCTGTGCGCATGAGCGGCCGCTCATTAACACAGGAAGCCCCGCTCAGCAGCAGTCTGGGGCCATGCAGGGCCTTGCACTGCCCCTTGACCATTTTAAGATTACAGCAGTTCTGTTCAGGATGTGAACTGCTCTGCTCAGTAGGGAGGAGAAATTAGAGGGAACACTGGTGTCCACCCTGGACATTTCTTCTGAGTGTGCAACGCCTAGCTGCACACTCAGGAACACTCAGCTGCAGGAACTCCAAGTGCTTTGTTGAAGAGGGAAGATCTGCCCCTACTTACCTGTAAAGTTCCCATTGTGCTGTTCTTTGTTCATTGCTATGCGCCTCTGGTCACAATCTGTTCCATTTTCTGCCATTTCATAGATCAGTCAGTTATGGGGACCTAACAGACACACACACACAAAAGCAAGCAGAAAGACACAAAAACTGTTAAGCAGAACAGCAAACAAAGCAAAGCAAACATCCGTACAAGCTGGGTCAGCGTGTAATACCCCATGGCATCAGTTTTGCCAAGTCTAACTGCACTGAAACAAAGTTACAGAGTCCAATGGCACCTTTAAGACCAACAAAGTTTCAGGGTTTGACAAAGTGTGCATGCACACGAAAGCTCGCACCTTGAATAAAACTTTGTTGGTCTTAAAGGTGCCACTGGACTCTAACTTTTGCTCTGTTGCTTCAGATCAACACAGCTGCCCACCTTAATCTGCACTGAAACAGGCAACCTGTTGTTCACAGTAACCACTAGAGGGAGCATTTCCACCCAGCCGGACCTCCCAAGAAACTCAAGTTTCATTTAAATGGAGAAGCAGACATATGGAAATATTATGGTAAAATACTAACAAGGAAAACAAAACTTGGGTTCAGTGATCCCACTACACACACACACGCCATCTAAAGCTTTAGGAGGAAAACCTTTTTTGCATTACAAATGTTTTTCATGCCCGACAAAGAGATGCAAAGCAACCACCAAGACCGGTTGAAGTTGCTTCTCAGACCCGGGGTGGACAGAATGCATCACCACTGCTGGCTGCCTGGTTAAGATCCCTTCAGATGTTCAGTTCACTGAGCTAAGTCCTGCCCCCCAAAAGGCAGGTATGAAGACAGCCTTTATAACAGGAGAGCCGTGGGCCGTCTTTCCAGAGGAGAGGTAAAGGAAACTGTCTTAACCTTGTTTGGTGCAGACTAGGTAAAGGTAAAGGTTCCCTTGCTCGAAAGCCAGCCGAGTCCGACTCTAGGGTTGCGGTGCTCATCTCCGTTTCAAAGCCGAAGAACCAGCGCTGTCCAAAGACGTTTCCGTGGTCATGTGGCCGGCAGGACTAAACACCAAGGCGCACGGAACGCTGTTACCTTCCCACCGAAGTGGTACCTATTTATCTACTTGCAATTTCTTGCTTTCGAACTGCTAGGTTGGCAGGAGCTGGAACTAGAGACGGGAGCTCACTCCGTCATGCGGCACACTCGGGTCTCGAACTGCTGAACTAGCAACCTTCCACAGCCTACAGTTCAGGGTCTTAACCACTTGAGCCACCGCAGCTCCATTTGGTGCAGACTAGAGGCGGCAAAAATCAGGGTTTTTCTCCCCTACAGACATCTCCCCCCCCCCCCAGTTTGAGACAGAAAAACAGGGAAATTTGGAAGAAAGAGCACTTTTAAAAAACCCTCCTGTGAACTATTTTCTCTTTTGAAATGAGAGAAATGCTTCTGAAGACAATGGGGTTGATCCCATATTCCTCCTGTCTGTAAGTGGCTCTTAGAAGAGCCATGCATGTTGGAGGAAGGCTTCAACCTTTGCTCAGTGGAGCGGTAGGATCCACCCAAATATTTTACTCAACATTTTTATGTAAAGCAATCTGCAGCATTAGATAATGATGATTCCTCTATATACACATGCAATTTTAGACACAAACAATCTGAATCGTTTTGACAACAATGTGCTATGTGCTTCCCTGACCTGGACAGCCCAGGCAAGCCCAATATTGTCAAAAGAACATAAGAGAAGCCAGTGTGGGATCAGGCCAATGGCTCATCTAGTCCAACCCTCTGTCACACAATGGCCAAAAATACCAGGTGCCATCAGGAGGTCCACCAGTGGAGCCAGGGCGCTAGAAGCCCTCCCACTGTTGTTGCCCCCCCGCCCAAGCACCAAGAATACAAAGCATCCCTTGCCCCAGCCTGAGAGTTCCTATCTATACCTTGTGGCTAATAGCCACTGATGAACCTCTGGTCTATATGCTTATCTAATTCACTCTTGAAGCTGCCCATGCTTGTAGCCGCCACCACCTCTTGTCAGATCTTGGAATTTCCAACTCTGGCAAGTATTTGGATGGGAGACCTCCAAAGAATACCAGGGTTGGGAGGCAGAGGCAAGCTATCAAAGCCACTTTTCTGAACCTCCTCCTCCATGCCCTAGTAGGAGTTGCCAGAGGTCGCCATGACTTCCAGGCACGGGGACACACACACACAAAAATGCAAAAATACAAAAAACCAACCAACCAACAATGTGCTATGTGTTCAATCATAGTACAATATTTAAAACTTCATTGTTTTAGCTACTCGTTGGAAAAGCAAACTGACCCCAAATTTAACCTTGTGGCATAGGAAAATTTGGGATCATTTTATCACGGCAAAAACAACAGATAATCTGTTTTATTTTGATCCTCAAACTTGCTCCTCTAACTTTGTCACAGTCTGGTTCCTTATACTTGAATATATGGTAAAGCAAGGAGAGATTCCAAGACAGGTTGAAAATTTGCAACTATGGTGATGTTTGATTGTAAAATGCAGATGTATGTTACAACTTTAAGAAGCTGAGATCCTGGAATTCATTAGCATACTTGTTTTCTACTCTAGTTTTTGGTGTATATATATTTATCATTCTCTTGACTCTGTACTATATGCTATTAACTATAATAATTTTTAATTCAAAAAAACCCCTCATTGTTTCCAATGGTTTAAAGACGTTTGAATATGCTGGTAGCCCTACATACTTTGACTATATGAGAGTGTTTCTGTCCAAATAAAGGCACTCTTGTTCTCTACAGATATATGTGCTAAGGCAGCATAGGGTACAGTAGTCTGAAACTCCCTCTGTCAAGTGTTGGGTATATTTGGCAGATTTCCTGAATTTAGAAATACAAATGTCTTAGTTTTCTACATGAAAAACTTCAAATAGTACAATTTGATATGCTAAGTTATAAATGATAAGTGTTATTAAATCAGTAAAATAGGTTTAGAATTGACAGGAAAGTAAGCACTGTATATGTCTCAAATTTTACTAAAATTTCAATTTTTCCCCAAAGCAACCAAAATAAATTTTGGAAATTGTGAAGCCATATACACACACAAAGTAACACCCAGTTTCTAGTGTAGACATAATTACTAGCTCAAGGTTATTAAACCTACTTGATACCAGTGTTCCCTCTAAGCCGAGTTAGTGAGACGTAGCTCACAGTTTTTTAGCCTCCAGCTTACACATTTTTGCTTTAGCTCTGGAAGGATGGCTCCAGAGCAAACTAATTTATGCAGTAGCCAAATTGCTTGCTCGCAAATTTAATGACCGTAGCTCACGAAGTAGAATTTTTGCTCATAAGACTCCACAGCTTAAAGGGAGCATTACTTGATACCCTAATGCCTTCACATCCTGGTTCCTAGGCAATTCTTAACCAAGCTATTCACAGCTATTATTTAGCCATGCTTAAAGTGTACCTTCACAGACCTTTAGAATCCCACCAAGCTTCAGTTTCACTCCCCTTAAACAAATAGTAACAGGGTGGTAGCAAAAATTTGTAATTTTCAACACCCAAAGTTGCTCCTTCCTTGGGAGAGGCCTCTTGTTCACCGAGAATAAGCATAACAGCTATCACACACGCTCTTATCCGGATTGTGTTTATTGCATGCAGAAGGTTCCAGTTTCAACCACCACCATCTGCATTTAGCAATCTCGAGTCACAGGTGAAAGACCCCCCTGCTCCGCCTAGGATCCTGGAGCACCACTGTCAGTCCATAAGGGCAAGAATGCGCTTGGTGGCATGATTCAGTTTCAGCCGGCTTCGTGCAACTGATTCCAACCCTGATTTCCTCACCCCGGCAAGCAGATCACCACCCACAAATGTTCGTGTTTATCATCCTCTTTGTTTCATGTACGAGTGTCCGGGGCTGTTTACATTTGCTTTCAAGGGACCTCTGTGCACAAGGAGTTCTTTGTAACCCGCTCTTCCACTTCAACAGTGTTTCATTCAGCCCGAGCCCATCTCATAACATGACTTCTTGTGGATGATACAATACCTTGCTAATCAAAACACGGCTCTGGCCGCAGGAGCACCCGAGATGGGACAGCCAAACTGGGGGCGTTCACTTCACAGCGAAGGCTCACAGAAGAGTTGCAATCCAATTATTATTTTTAAAGAGACAAACATTAAATGTGCCGGAGTTGACATTAAATGTGCTTCTCTTCCAGGAATCGAGATGCAGAAGACAAGCCCGTTACCCAAAAAAGAGGGAGGGAAGGAGTTTCCATTTCTCACAAGGAGAAGTGATATGATTATTATATTTGTTCTTTAAACATTTATATATTCCACATTTCGGTTTGTTAAAAAAAAACCAATTTGAAACAAAATCAACACAAACTTAATAGCTTAAGGAGACATACAGCTTTAAAAACTAGCACTTATTATGGAATTGTAATCAATGCTCCCTCTAAGCTGTGGAGTCTTGTGAGCAAAAATTCTACTCTGTGAGCTACTGGCATTAAAGTGGTGAGCGAGCGATTTAGCTACTGCACAAATTAGTTTGCTCTGGAGCCGTCCTTCCTGAGCTAAGACAAAAACGTGTGAGCTGGAGGCTAAAAAACTGTGAGCTAGCTCACATTAACTCAGCTTAGAGGGAACACTGATTGTAATCTTTAAAATACTGTTTTAAATGTTTTATTGTACTATTTACATGTTTTCTGCTGACTTTATGTAAGCACTCCCTGAGCCGGGAGGGCGGGGTATAAATTTGAATAAACAAACAAATAAAAAATACACCAACAGCCTATGCAAAAAAATCAAGAGAATGGGCATTCATGTTTGCGTTTCAATGAGAAAGGGAGAGTATACATAACAAATAGATAAGCTCATGAAGAAAGCAGACCAACAGGACAGGGATAGCAGTGGGCAGCTTGAGTTAATGAGCCCAAACGCTGCCCTAGAGAATACCAGTGCAGCCCAATGTCGAAAAACTAACCAGGGAAGACACAAGGCAGGCCCTCCCTCCCGAGGCAGCACACCACTTTGGTGCAACACATGAATACATGATGCTGCCTTATAGTAAACCAGCCCTTTGGTCCATCAAGATCAGTATTGTCTACTCAGACTGGCGGTGGCTCTCCAGGGTCTCAGGCGG